GTCCTTCAACTCGACGTCTCGAACGCGTTTCTTCACGACAACTTACAGGATGACATCTTCATGTCACAACCTCGTGATTTTGAGGATCCATCTCAACCCACAGCGGTCTACAAGATTCACAAATCCCTTTATGGGCTCAAACAAGCACCACGATAGTGGTACCAGAAAATTACAGCATTCCTACAAGCTCGAGGCTTTGGGTTTAGCCGCTCTGACCCCTCCCTTCCTATCTATAATAATCACCACAGTTCTATTTACATCTTAATTTATGTGGATGATATCCTAATCACAGGAAACAACTCTACTACCAATAACGATCTCTTGGCTGCTCTCCAATCTCAGTTCGCACTCAAGCAACTTGGACAAATAAACCTGTTTCTGAGCATTCAGGTCACTCGAACTGCCTCCGGCTTCTTCCTACATCAAGAACATTACGCCGCAAAGTTACTGCAGGAAGCCGGCTTCACCAATAGCAAGCCGTGTCCAACCCCCATCACTCCGACTTCCAGACATCCTCCACCCAATTCAGAACCTTTTCACGATCGGTCTATGTATCGCCGTCTCGCAGGCTCTATCCAATATCTCACCATCACAAGGCCGGACATCGCGTATGCCACAAATCAAGCTTGCCAAAATATGCAAAACCCGACCACAGCAGATTTCAGTCAGCTCAAGCGCATCCTTCGTTACATCAATGGAACCAAATCCTTTAGTCTGCCCATTGTTCCCGGCGACACAAACACTTTAAACATACATGGACGCCGACTGGGCATCCGACACCACGGATCGCAAGTCGATCTCTAGCACTTGGCCTGTACATTCCTCGGCCCAAATCTCATTTCTTGGTCCGTCAAGAAGCAGGTGACAGTTGTCAAATCCTCCACGGAGGCTGAATATCGTGCTCTCTCTGCCTCTACAACGGAGGTACTCTGGCTTCGTCGCCTTGCGTCCGAACTTCAGCTCGATCAGAAGTCACCCACTCTTATTCACCGTGACAACCTCTCTGCCATCGCCATTGCCAAGAATTCGGTGTTTCACGCCCGGACCAAACACATAGAAATCGATTACCAGTTTATTCGGCAACATATAGCTTCGGGCATCATCCTCATTCAGCATATTTCATCTCACGATTAGGCTGCAGACATTCTCTCCAAGCCTTTCTCTAGCTCTCGATTTGATTTACTTCGTCACAAATTAACCGTTCAACCTCATACCGCTTAATTTGAGGGAGGATATTAGAGAAAGGATTAGTTTAAGCTTATGGTGCACTTGAGCTTACTGTACTTATTAATCATATCAACTAGTATAAATAACTCTGTAATATTGATTATTCTTTTGAATAATAATTTTCCTGCTTTCCTATTTCTCTGTTTCCTCTGTCTTCCTTCGTCTTCTTCGTCTCCGGCACCACCGTGCCTCTGCTCTCTCAGTAGGCACCGCTCTCTCAGTAGGCACCGCATCCTATTTAAAGAGAGCCCCTTGAGAAAAAAAAAAATTGTTCATGAAAGTACTGATTTCTGTACCTACCTAACGTACGGGCTTTCTCGCATATAAAAGAATTATAATTGTTTTGCTCAGCTTCTGACTGCATAAAAATTATAACTTATATGCATTCTATATGAAGATTTTTTTATATATATTTTTTATTTATGACTAGGAATTGTTAGTTGTCACGTCAGGCTTCGTCCAGCACGCTCGGCAGTGAGTACATCTCGGCCAATATTGACAAGTAGCTTGATCAGTAAATAGGAGGGAGATTAAGGTATGTTGGAAGTGGTTTGAATGTACGGCTAATATTGACTCATTTGATCATAGACCATTTATTGAATATTTTAGTGTCTTTATGACGCTAGAATTCAATGATTTTGGGATCATTGGTTTCGTCTCGTCGAGGCGCTCGATTCAACAGTAAGCATGTCATGTTTGAAAATCATTTGATCATCTAATTTATGGTTTGAACTTTTCAAATGTGCTTCGAGTCTTTGATTTGGCCCTATTTGGGCTCAGTTTGAGTAGAATTTGGTGTCGTTGGGTTCGTATTTTCAAGACGTTCAGTTTGACTATAAGTTTGCTAAAATAAGTTCAAATGATCCCAAATTTAAATTTGAAAGTTTCCAATTTGATTTTGCCTTTAGATTCGTGTCTGTCCAAGATAATTTTTTGATGATAAGAGTAGTGACACAAGAAGATCTCCCCATGGGACTTTAACTGATTATAGAAATAGCAGAAAACAAGTTGAATCCGATTTGTAGAAAACAAGTTGAAATGGGTTTTTTTTTTAGTGCAACCGATTTCAACTTGTTTTCTGCAATTTCTATACTCAGTTCAAGTCCCGTGGAGCGTCTAGTTACACTACTCTTATCAGATATAAATTTTGATTAAATAATATATTTATATATAATATTATAAATTAAAGAAAATTAAAAGAAAATTAAAAGTAAAAAAAAAGTACTTTCATGACTAATTTAATCATTTTTAAACTCACATTAATACATTTTTTATTAAAACATTTTAATATAAACATTCCCTTAATGATAAAGCCGATAGCATTATAAATTATTATTATTATTATTATTATTATTATTATTATTATTATTATATATTGTAAATTTTCATAATTGAACTTTTTTTGTTTAATATATACGTTAGGCGAGTGAGGCCAAAATTGAGGGAGGGGAGGGGGGGGTCAAATTTTCAAAAGGAACACATTTAACGTACGATTTAGGAGAAGGATCATAAATTAAATTAAATTTGAAAATGATTAAAAACACAAAGGGGTTTGAATTTTAATAGAAAATGTAAAGTGAAATCGCGTTTTAATAGAAAATGTGAACAATGATCACATTTTCGATTAAAAAGTTATTTTATATTGTGTTTTTCTATTTTTTTTACTGTACCTAATGATTATCTTTTGATTCTTTAAAAATATGTTTTATTTTTAAGATATTTTATAAATAATTTTATTTAAATATTACAAATTGTAATATTTAAATAAAACTATTTATAAAATATCTTAAGAATGTAGCAGGTTTGTCAATGAATCAAATATAATAGTTAGAAACAATAAAAAACACAGAAAATGCTATATTAAATCACGTTTTAATAAAAAAAAACGTGATCACTGTTCACACTTTTTTTTTATGCATATTCTTTTAAAATTTAATTTAATTTGTGATCCTTCTTCTAAATGGTACGTTAAATATGTTCTTTTTAAAAATTTGACCTTCCTTGTTTTGAAAGATCATGCTAGTTTTTGTCTGGCTGGCATTGTGTGGTGGTCTTAAGACGGCTGATGCACTTCGCTTTAGGAATATTTTAGTTCCTGATTCCTGCAATTTTTGCCATGTGCACTCTGAATCGGTCTCTTATTTATTTTTTGAGTGTCCTTACTCATTTTAATATCATCACTGCTCTTATTCCTGGGATGCAAAGCTTTCTCCTTCAGCCTAATATCTTGCAGATTTTTGATTGGATGAAGGTAGTATTTACTGGCAATCCGATTGTGTTTAACTTCTACAAATTGGTAGTTTGCAGTGTGATTTATTTCATCTGGAAGGAAAGGAATAATAGGAGATTTGGAAGTAATTTCTTATGCCATACCTCTTTACTGCTAGCTATAAAGCGGGTTATTTTTGAAAAGGTGATGCAATGGGGCAACTCCATGGAGTTGCTGGATAGACTGTAATGGTTCTTTTTGGCTGGGCTGTATTTTCGTTAACTTCATTTTCTCTGGTTGGTTCGTGCTGGTCCTGAGAATTGCTGTTGGGATGCCTTGCCTGGGCGATGATGATGCTCCCTCACATTTCCCTTGGATGGTCATCGGGCAACCAGGGATGTGTCTTTTATGTGCTGTCTTCTCGTTATTTTTGAGCCCAGGTATCTTGGCTTGGGAGCAGGTTGTTCTGTTTCTCTTTTGCTATTTTCTGTGCCTAGGGGTCCTTCAAGTTCGCCTTCTTGCTCTGGCTGTTGGGGATTTTTTGCTCATGATCTTTGGGATGAAGACTACTACGGCCCCCTGTTGACCTTCTCTCTGTCTTGGTGAATTACACTCATGCTTACTGCCACGGTTCTTTATGATGATCTTTTTGGTTTTTTGATTGTAATTGGGTGGTATAGTTGAGGTTTATTTTCTTTTTCCCACATAAGTTTTTATTTTTTTGCTTATGCTGGGATGTTTTTTCTTGTATTTTTCTTCCTGTAATTCCCTCATTTTATGAAATAGATGTGCTGAGGCCCCAAATTTTCCAAAAAAAAAAAAACCATGCTTTTCTAAAAGGAGAAATTAGCTTTTAATGAAAAAAATCCTATCAAATCTAATTAAATCAAATCAGATCACATCTACATCAGAGGCTCATTAAGGCGTCCCCCCTGGCTTCTTTCCAAGAACAAAATAAAGTGATATTTTATTTTTCTCATGATTTGAGGTTGACTATAGATGTTAGTCAAACGTTTTGACATCTATAATAATAAGATGCGTAAATATATATGCAAGTTTAACAAGAAATTTTTTTTCTGAAATAATCTAATTAGAAAAATAAAAAATATATTTTAGTGTTTTTACTTTTTTTTTTTTTGGGAAATTTAGGGGCAGAGTCCATTTCATTGCATAAAAGAGATTACAAGTAAGAGAAACAGAAAATTATAATCCATAAACACCACAAAACAGGATTATGGATTCTAAAAGAAAGCAAAATACAACATGAATTGAAACAGTAGAAATGGAGGCGGAACAGCCTCAAAGGACTCAGGTTGCTCTTTGTGCTCGAAAAGGGTCCAAAAAAACACGAATGGGTCATGATAAGAGCAAGGCCCCTGGTTGCCAAGAAGACCGTCCAAGGGGCAGCTGATAAGAATCAGCATTCATCATCGTCCTTTCAAAAATGATCTCCCAGGCTACCTGACGTTCCAACCAAAATTGCAGGCTACCCAAAATTGTCCAGACATAATCATCACAGAAAGCAGAAACCAGTGGCTTCAAGGCCAAGCCCAGATCCAGGAAATCAAACATTGCGCCAGCCGATAGTTTTAAGAGTGAATGCTTTTCTAATTTTTGTAATCACTGTGGTTTGACTATCAACAATACCACCAAATATCCTATCATTTCTTGCTCTCCATAAGAAGTAGATGATAGTAGAGGTAGAGAGAAGATAGTAGTTTCTGTTATGGATTAAAATCCTTTGCTCAAAAATAGAATTGTATAACTGATACAGGTTTGGCCTCATAAGAAGATCATTCAGCCAAGGCAAAAAATATTTTGCAATGTCAAAAGTGAATCTGCACTCGAAAAAGAGATGAGAAATGGTTTCCATATCATCGTGACAGAAACAGCACTTGTAAGAAGTGTTAATCCCTCTCTTTGCCAAAATATCCGTAGTTTTTAAACCATCTTTAAAAGCAAGCCAGACATACACCGAGTATCTAAGGGCTTGATGTTTATACCAAACATATTTGTACCAGGGAACTTTGCTCAAATTACTAAAAAACTGTTTAGAAAAATCAGCAAACACAGGATTTTGTTTACCAAACCAGAAATGATTTTCCACCTGACTGATGGGAATAGCCTTAATAAGAGAGATGATGTTGTTTTCAAAAGACTGAGGCAGATTCCAATTATCCCCTAGAATAATATTAGAAACTTTCCAGCTAAAGAAACTGGAGTAGTTGGCAATAGAATTAGAGGTCTTCAGGTAATCAGCAATGGAATGTCCCCCACACCAAGGGTCCCATATCACAAAAAGGCTGCTACTTGGGAAAACAGAAAAAGAAATACAATTTTTTATGCAGCTAGCTTTCTTACAAAGCAAATCCCAATATTGAGCATTATTAGCCGAAGTATAGTTCCAAAGGGAATAGTATTTAGCTCTCCACCAACTAAATAGGAGGCTGTTAGTATTAAGGAACCTCCAAATGACTGAACAAGCATAATTGTGACAGAGAGAATCAATAGACGGGATTCCCAAACCCCCATACTGTTTTGGACAACAGGTGTTTTTCCAAGACACAGTAAAAAGTTTATTCTGAGTGATACTGCCAAAGTAAGTAAAACGAGCGCACAAACGATTTATCTGCTTGGAAACACCTTTAGTTATGATGGAGCCTCTTATCCAGTAGGCAATGGTGTTGCAAATTGTGAATTTGATATATTGTATTCTTCCGGCTAGTGACAAAGTTTTAGCTTTCCACCCCTCTAATTGTTTAGAAATTTTGCCCAGAAGTGGCTGGAAATCTTTTAGTTTCAGTTTCTTATAAAAGATAGGCAATCCCAAATATTTGATGGGAATTAAAGATTGCTGAATGTTGAGAATAGTGCAGATGTCCACATCTAGAGGGCAATTTTTGGATATCAAAATAGTGCTTTTTTGAGGATTTACATTCAGTCCAGTAACAGAGGCAAAAACCTTAAGGATGGAATTGAGAGTGTGGGCATTAGCTGTGGTAGCAGATCCGAAAACATGGAGGTCGTCAGCAAACATGAGATGGAAAACCTCACAGTTATCTGCAGAAATGCCCTAAAAAGATTTATTAGCCACAGCCAAGTCAAAACTAGTAGATAGTCCGTCCATGATAATACTGAATAGGTAAGGAGAGAGCGGGCATCCCTACCTAATACCCGAAGTAGAGTTAAAATAACCCTCAAGCACACCGTTAATGCAGACAGAGAAATGTACATTAGAAGTACAGGCCATGATCCAGGAGATGAACATTTGAGGGAAACCTTTAGCTTCAAGTCTTCTATAAAGATATTCTCTAGAAACTGTGTCAAATGCTTTGGTGATATCAAATTTGGCACAGAAGAACTTGTGTTTGGCTTTAAGATTGAATTGACTAAGCAAATCAGCAGCAAGAAGAATATTATCAGAGATGATTCTTTTTTAGATGAAACCCCCTTGGCTAGGGTGGATGATGTAAGGCAACACTTCCTTCATCCTATTGGCAATGATTTTAGCGATTATTTTGTAGATAACATTGCATAAAGCAATAGGTCTAAAGTCTTTTACATTATTGGCATGAGGGTGCTTTGGAATGAGGGCAATGGCTGTGGCTTTTACTTGATTGGGCATAAAACCAGTGTTGAAAAAAGATATGATAGCTTTGCACAGTTGAGGGTGGATTACATTCCAAGTTGCTCTATAGAATTCCAGTGTGAATCCATCTGGTCCAGGCGCAGAGTTTGGCTTTCCAGAAAAAACAATATCTTTAATCTCATCCATGGTAACAGGAGCAGTGAGGGCAGAGATCATGTGTGGAGGGATCACAGTTCCAGTTGGAATGAGAGTGGTATCAATGTTCAAGCATTCAGAACCAGCAGAGTTAAAGAGATTGTTGAAGTGTTGAATGAAGACTTTAGCAAAATCACTGTGAGTGTTGTAGGTCCCTTGATCATCAGTAATCTCCTTGATGCGATTGTAGTTTTTAGTGATGTTGATTTTTTAGTATAAGAATTTCAAATCATCCTCTCCTTGGGTGAGCCAACTCACTTTGGCTCGTTGAAAGATCCAGCTAGTAAGAGTGGTGTGGTAGTGAGCAAGCTTAGAATTGATGATCGAAAGGTTGCTGTTGAGTTGAGAATCAAAAGGATTACTTTGAATTTGGTTGATCACATTGCTTTGCTGGAGCTTGAGGGAGTCAATTTCAGATTGGATTGAATTAGCATTGGTCCAAGTCTTATGCTTGATGGAATTATTGAGAGACTTAAGCTTAAAATTGAAATCACTCAAAGGACTGCTCTTATTGGGGCAAGCAAAAACTTCCAGTAGACAACTCCAGAAATCAGAGAATTTTGTGCAGTAGTTTTTTGTAAAGGAACCTATGCCCTTTCCTGTTATCATTGGTGTTAACCAAAATGAGCGGAGAGTGATCAGAGCAGTCAAGATCACCAACTTTGTAGAAAGAGTTGGGGAATTTAAGCAGCCAATTGTCATTGATCAGAATTCTGTCTAATTTGATGTGTATAGGGTTGAGATGTTGTTGATTGTGCCAAGTGTAGAAGTGACCAACAGATGATAGATCTTGCAAACCAGTATTGAATATCATACGATTAAAATCACCAAGCCTGGAGGTAGAGAGAGCACTACCACCAGCTTTTTCTTCCATCGTTCGGCAACAGTTAAAGTCCCCAAGGATAGCCCATGGGGTATTTATAGTATCAGCAATAGCTTGTAAATTGTTCCACAGAGTTTGTCTTTCCACTTGAGAATTGCTTGCATACACCACAGTAATAGCACAAATAAAAATAGAGTTAACCTTTATAATGCCATGAATAAATTGATTAGACATGGCTAGAGCAGTGAAACTCATAGTATCAGCATTCCATTTTAACCAAATACGGCCAGGATTGGAGTGGCTAAAGTTATCACAAGAGTCTTCGTTAGAGAAAATTTTGTGACTGGATTGAAACCAATTGTTAGAAAAGCTAGAAGGAAAAATTTTAGCTTCAATGATACAGAGGAGGTCAAGATCGTGGGTTTGGGCAAGTTTTTATTTTACTGTTATGTTACAATAGCAAGTCGTCCGTTAAAGGCAACTTGATACAGTATTAATTAGTTGAGCTAGTAAATGATGAATTGCGTCAGCACTAAGTCGCCTTTTTAGCAGATGATTTTCTCATTTTAATTTTTTTAATGATGCTTAATAACATAATTAGATTTTTAATCATACTTTAAAAAATTTCTCCCCTTGAGAAGAATTTTTAAAGGAAATATGATAAAAAATTTATGCATTAGGTCCATTCAAAGCAATTTTTTCGTTTCGGCCCCGCACATCAATTCGCCCTTGAATTTCAAATTTGGAGGACTAAATTTTACAAATAGATATAATAATAGTTAATATTATTAAAATCAATATATATAAAAAAAAAATTAAAGTAATCATAGTTGTTAGACTTGCTAACGACTCGATACAAATTTTTTTCTTTTCTTTTTTAAAAATTTTTATTTTTCATAAATATATATTATTGAAATTAATAGAACAGTGAATGCAAATATTATGATACTATTAATCATCAAATTTAATAAAAATATTAAAAAAATAAAAGAAATTTAATAAACTAAAATATATTGTTTAAAATTTAATTAAAACAAAAATAATTTTTTTTTTTATAGAGCCGGCCGGTTCTTTCTTACTCGGACCTGTTGAGCAGTTCATTGGTTGAACCGCTGGTTCAATGCGAAGTCGATTTTGTAAGTTGGATGCGACCGATCATCCGACCCGGTCATGTTTTGAAAACATTGAATAAAATATATAAAAAAGTTGGAAGATGGTTGTAACAACATAAAAGTTGGCTCCAAAGCGTAATAAAATAGGAGAAACTATTCTGTGCCGCCTCCGGATGGCATCTATGAATAATTTTTTTGGGGGGAAATTTTGATGCTAAGCCCGTATCATTAAAAATAGGAAAATTACATGTGTAAAATTGCAACCATATGAGAAGTAGTTGCCAACTTTTTGGTTAAAAAAAAGGCGTTTACCCACCACTGCTTGTCCGGGTGGTGAATAGCCGACTGGGCAAAGCCTATGTCCCTGGTTCGAATCTTTTGGAAAACAGTGAAAGCCTTAAGTGTTGGCTCGTGTGAATTGATGTGGGTTGCATGCTAGACAGACCAGGGTTTCCTCGCCAAAAAAAAAAAAAACTAACGTTTGAGCAATCAAATGCCACAAGAAGTGGAATCGGTTTCAACTTTTTCTGCAATTTCTGTAATAAGTTAGTCCCATGTGGAGAGCATCTTGAGTAGGGTTGTCAAAAACGAGTTTCGGGTCGGGTTCAGGTCCAACCCGAAATTGACCGGACCCCATTCGGGCCAACCCAAACCCGACCCGTTTCTTGAAACGGGTCATTTATGCTAACCTGGACCCAACCCGCTTTGGGTCCGGGTCAACCCAACCCGCTTTGGGTCCGGGTCAACCCAACCCGACCCGTTTGACCCAGCTGCACTATAAAAAATTTAAAACATGTTCTACATGGCTGAAAAGTGAAAACCATGGGCAAATTTTTACAATTACAAATCTTCAAATAATTTACATCATTACATGTTACAATTAGTCAATTACAAAGGTACAGTCTCACATATCAAATAAGAGAAATTTCAATTGCTATTTGCTAATTTAATTATCCCATTTACAACAAATGTAAATAACTGAATATAGAAGCTTCAAGGTTCAAGCCTTCAATGGTTCGAACTCGACTACTTCAACCTCTAAGAATGTCTGAATATGACAATCTGTCTTTATTCTTCAATCCCCTATCGTCTTATAGATATAACTGCAACAAACTTAGTTTATAGATGTCCACAGGTCAGATGTAATGATCTTTTTATGTAGATGTCAATCATTATAAATAAAATGCATAGTCAAGCAGATAAATTCATCAGTGTTTATATATGTACACAGGTCAGATGTAACACACTCTGCTACTGCACTTAGATAACTGTGAACGAATATTTGAAATTTTTTTATTGAATAATTTCTTGCAATCATTCCTTGTTGTATTCCTAGAAAATAGTTGAACATCCCGAAGAAAATAGCTCAAAAGTGCTCGAACACCCTACCATTCAACACATTGGAATGGAGAATCATGCATAATTATGCAAGCAGTAAATAAATCACGAAATTTTGACGAGTCAAACTTATGATCAGTCATAGAAATAGAAGAATTTGAAGTGGTTTGCAATATGAGCTGGTCTATGTCTAGTAGATCTCTTTTCTTGCAATTTTGCAAATGTCTTCTTAAGTTACCAGTCCCATTTTTACTCTCACACAAGTATTGTGCACCACATTTTTTACATTTACACTTTTGCTTATCATCTGCAGGATTAGATAGCATCACAAAATTCCCCCCAAACCTTGAAAGTCATCCTCCTACGCTTCTTAATTACCACAGAACCATCATTAGATGACTCAACCAAATTATCTTCAATGTGAAGTTCCTCATTCTCATCAATAAAAAGTTCAGGAAGTGTTTTTGAATCCTCCATCTAATGAACCAATTAAAGGATTTAATCCATATTACTAAATAGCTAAATATCATAAATAATTCAATATAAAAGAACATCCTAAAATATTAAATTTCAAAGAAATACATGTGAATACCACTATGGCACTATACCAACTTCTTGCAGGTGCAGCCAGCAGGCTACACTACATGATTTATATGCTTTAATTAAGTTTTAATGTATTTCTTTAAATCCACAGCACTAAATCAACGTCCGGAGACAGAACATTGCAACAGGCAGCACCAAAAATAACTAATAAGCCCGCAATAGTTAAACGGACAGGCCTATATTCAAAATACTATCCAAAAAATCATTCAATGGTTCAACATGAGGTCATTTATTACTTTATTTCAGACTTTTAGTTAGGGCTTAATCCTTCAACAAACTTACAGGCTTATAGCATGCCTAAATGGCCAAAAAACCTAACATCATGCGATTCATGCCCTAATCGGCAAATACAAAAAAAGATAAAAGCCATGCCCTAATCAAAAAATCAAAAGAAAATTGCATAACAGCTTAAAATCTTTGGAATAACCGAAGAAGAACGATGAAACTTCAACCAAGATTAGTAGATCACTCTAACATAGTAACATGATAGTAAGTAATTAGCACAAGTGCACAACAAATAAAAATAAAAAAGTGCATGAAATAGCAAGGACTAAGGAGGAGAAAATCTTTGAGCAGGAAAGACCGTTAAGGAGACGACGACACTAATGAGTGATGAGGAGAGAAGCTCCGTCAAGGTCCTCAAGGAGGCAGGAAGCCAGGAAGCATGAAACACCGTGATATCGGTCGAAAAAATAGAAAACCCTAGATTCAACAGTCGGGAGGAGAAGAGATGAAGACGGAAGACTCGATGACTCAAAGTCTCGAAAAGTTTAAATGAGCCCTAAATGCCTAAAGCCCTGTAATATCAAAATCTGCTCCAGGATCGTCCAGGATGATCTGGGATCATCCTGGGACGATCAGTTAAGAATCTGTTCCATAATTTGCCCAGATTTGCTCCAGGTGATTTTCTGTATGCATCGTCCAGGCCGATCGAGGCTTCGACCAGGCCGATTGGCACTGTTCAAAATATCGGCCTGAAACAAGTTCTGAGAACCGTCCAGGACGATCCAATTTGGTCTGATCGTCCTGGGACGATCTGACGATCGGCCGGGCCGATCTGTGTATTATAAAGCTGAAATCAGTCGTTTTGAAGAGAGAGAAAATTTTTTTTTTAGAAACATTTCATCGAATGGCTAAAGTGCGATATTTACGATCATATATAATCATAGAAGCGGAAAAAGTATATCTCTGCATTTGATTAAGCCCACTATAGCACCATCCATATAAAACATCATTAAGACTGGCATGAAGAAGAAACAATTATGATCACCCAAGACTTACTACCGCACTTCTAAGATGGATTTTTCAAGCTAAAAAAAAAAGAATTTTTAATCAATGTCAAGACATGAATTCTAAGGAAAGTACTCAGCATATAACCACAAGACGTGTGGATACAGACTAAGAATGGGAGAATGAAAGAAGAAAACGAATCAGTGAAGAAGAGGAAGACGACATATAAAAAGGAGGAGAAGAAAGTAAAGAAGAAGAAGAAGAAGAAGGTTGGGAGGGGGAGAATGCTCACCTTGCAAGGAGGAGAAGTTTGGACCAGTCTAGGCGTCGGTCCTTGCGTGCGAGTAGCGACGGGAGAAAAGTCTCGGGTCGCACAAGGGAGATCGGCGTTGGGTCTGGGTCGAACGTACGAAGCCGAAAGCGGAAGCAGGAGGGGGTTCCGATCTCCTACAGTGAGACCGGTGGCTAGGGCCGGTCGGTGGGGCCTCAGTCCGGTTCTGAACAGAGGAACGGCATAGGGGAGAGCAGGGGCTGCCGTCGGGAGCCAGGCTTTGGTCTTGGAACAGAGAGGGTGCGACTGAGAGCGAGAGGTAGGGAGATCGGGGTCCGTCTAGGTCTCGCGACAGTCTGGATTTGCGAACAGCAAGGGTAAACCAGGGGGGGCTTCGGCTTTTGGAGCTCTAGAGTCGGACAAGCCTCGGCATCCGACCTCCTAGGCTGGGGCAAACTGAAGCCAAAAGGGGGGAGGAGCTCGGGATCCGAATGCCATAAGCCGAGAGAGAGAGAGCGTCCGATCCCTTTTTGAGGAGTTCCGCCTGGATGTCCGAAATAGAGAGGAATCCGCAGCCAGGGGGAGCGGGCCTCTGCGAAAATCGAGAGAGAACTCGCGAATCGGGTCTCACGAGATTGAAAATTGGCAACGGTCGAATACAGATTTTTGGGAGAAATCCGAGCCGTTGATGGGATTACTAGATTTAGGGAATGAATTCAAATGAAAGCAAAAGTGGATTGGAATTTATTTAGGATTAATTTGGGCTGATTTGAGTTAGGTTTGGATGCGAATCTGGTTCAAATCAGTTCGATTAAAAAAATCGGGCTAAGTTTGATCGATTTATTTATTTTGTTTCTATTTAGCTCAGAGTGGACATTATCCTCAGGATGCCTTTTAGTTCAAATGTTAATGAGGATCCTTTAATTTCTTTCTAGACTAAAATTTATTAAACTTCAAAGAAGAAATAACATTCTAGTGATAAGTAGCTGAGTTATACATTTATATGATATAAATGTAAGACTTAATAGAGTTCTTAATTATCTTGCAAGAACTTAATCACATTTATGTTTCAAATTCTCGAATTCATACAAGAACTTTTTTTAAGATTAAGTTATCTAACATTTACAAGAACTCCTAACATGTATTAAGAGTTCTCTAACTTTTGTAAGAACTCGCATCATAAATTATGTATAAGAAATTAAAATGGAAACTTGAATTTTACATAAGTTTACAATCCTCAAGATCTTAAACAAAATGATTTTCACAATCTTTTCTTAATCGGAAGAAAACATACCTTAATTCATTTTGATTTTATCAAACTTCGAATTACGGTTTCTCTTCCTTCTCCCTTAACTTTCTTCTATCATGAGTTAATTTTCTATGGAGCAAAGTAACTCCTCATAATGAGAGAAAGAGAGAGAGGACCGGTAGTTATTTCCTGCGAATTGGTTACAATAACCACTCATAGGAGTTATTTGATCAAACGGTCCATAAAAGATCGATCAAATCATCTATTTTTGATCAATATGATTTAAACATAAATAATTAAATTTCAATAATTCAAATATATGAGCTACTTAATGGTTTATGTAATTAAATATATATTCTTAAATAATTATTGTGATGTCTCACATAATTATCTTATTTAATTAATCTAACATTCTCTCACTTGGCTCATATAAAATTATTCAATTAATAATTTTATTAACATAAAGTGCAATACATAAATCATCTTCCTTAAATTGGTCAAATCATAAATTTATTATTTAAGTACAAAATTAATACGAATCATAGCGGTCATACACCATTAGTTCGATGTATTTCCTTCCATGTATAACGATACTAATCTTATGCTTAATATGAAGCATAATAAGATAAACATATAATGGTTCAACTATGATGTTTTTACAAAAGATAAATCCCATCAATATTCTCATAAACATTCATGTATACATAACATAATAAATTGGATACACTAATTGTCAGAAACAAAATAAAAATAGCTCAAAGTATCAAAAGATATAAATAAATAAATAAATATAAACTTAATAAGGATTTTCAGTAGTGCCCATCATAACAATATGTTCATGAAATGTCTTCGGTGGCAACCCTTTAGTTAATGGATATGCAATCATAAGATTGGTTCTAATGTGCTCAAATGATACTCTTTGTTTATGAACTTCTTCTTTAATGGAAAAGTATTTTAATTCCCTATATTTAGCACCTTTTGAATACTTGCCGTTCTTAGAAAAGAAGACTGCTGCGGTATTATCACAATAAATTTTTCAGCGGCTTGACAATACTGTCAATAATTTCAAGTCCTGAAATAAAATTTCGCAACCATAATCCTTGAATTATGGCCTCAAAATATGCCACAAACTCAGCTTTCATTGTGGATGCAGCAATGACGGACTAATTCGCACTCTTCCAAGATATTGCTCCTCCACTTAAGAGAAACACATATTCAAATGTGAATTTTCTAAAATCCAAACATTTAGTAAAATTTGAATCTGAATATCCTATCACCTCAAGGTGATCAGATCTTTTAAAAGTGAGCATGCATTCTTTTGTTCCTTGTAGATATCGTAAAACATTCTTTGTAGCTTTACAATGATCAAGCTCTGGATTACGTTGATATCTACCCAATATTCTAACAACAAAACTTATATCTGGTCTATTACAAGTCTGAGCATACATTAAACTTCCAATAATAAATGCATAAGGAATTTATTTTATTTCTTTATGTTCCAATTCATTCTTTGGGCATTGCATAAGGCTCAATTTATCTCCTTTCTGAATTGGAACAATAATTGCTAAACATTTTTCCATCTTAAATCTCTCAAGAACTTTATTGATATATGCTTTCTCAGATAATCCTAATATTCCTTGTGATCTATCATGGAATATTTCAATTTCTATCACATAAGATGCCTCATCCATATCTTTTATTTCAATGTTATTTGAGAGAAATTTCTTAGTTTCATTCAATAAACCAAGATCATTAGTAGTAAGCAAAATATATCAACATACAAAATTAAAATTATAAACTTTCTCCCACTGACGTTTAGATATATACACCGATCAACAGTGATTTTTTTAAATCTAAAGGAAGTGATGATATTATTAAACTTTAGATATCATTATTGGGAAGCTTGTTTAAGTCCGTATATTAATTTCTTAAGTTTACACACCATGTGTTTCTTTCCTTCAACTGAAAACCCTTCAGACGGAATCATATAAACTTCTTCCTCTAAATCCCTATTTAGAAAGGGTATTTTCACATCCATTTGATGTAACTCTAAGTCATAATGAGTCACTATCGTCATAATAATTCTTAATGAGTCCTTCTTAGAAACTGGAGAAAATGTCTCTT